TTTATCTCCGTCTCTTCAGACGGACTCTAACTGCATCTCAGGCGTGTGTGTTTCTCCGTGCTCCTCCGTGCTCAGCACTGTCCCCTTCTCGGCAGCACGTGGCCAGCACCCTGCGGCGGCAGGAATGGCTCCAACAAGAAATGAGTTGTTAGGGTCCAGAAGTGAGTTCCTCGCCCCAACTCCAGATGTACGTCCTGTCATTGTGTTCTCGTCTGTCTGCGAGCCTCTCTATACTAAGGCCGCGGCCCCCGAGTCTGCAGATGGGGCCAGGCTTTGCCGCACCGTTGTGCACGCGGGTTGGTTTAGGAGAAGAAGCCCGAGGCTTTAAAGCCAGGAGAACAGGCCTGGGTTTGAGCCTGACTCTGCACCGCCTCCCTGCCCTGTTGAGTGACCGCGCGTGAGCGACTTCGCTTCCGTAAGCTGGAGTGTCCTCCCTGGGAGGCTGGGAATACCGTGGCGCACTTCACGCGCTGTGTGGCCACGGACGCGCGGAGGGAGTTCCATAAGAAACTTAGGCTCGTTTTCTTTCCCAGCTGGCTGTTTGTCACACGGGGCCAGATGCGCTGCTCCTTCATCCTTCATCCAGCCCCCATCTCGAGGGCTCTTTGTGCAACAGCTGCTGGCCACCCCTGCAGCCTGGTCTCCGGCCTTTTTCAGGGCAACGGGTGTGAGGAGGTGGTGGCCTGTGCCTGGGATGGACAGACGTATATCATTGATCACAACCGCACCGTCGTCCGCTTCCAAGTGGACGAGAACATCCGAGCCTTCTGTGCAGGTGGGACCCCGGGCCGTGGCCCCTCTCTAACCACCGCTTGTCTGCCTCTCATGTCCACTCTCTCTGCGTCCCCTAACGCAAGGCTTCATAGACAAACGAGCTCTTCAGCACTTGTGTTAGAGGGTGATGGGGGGTACTAAGTTGCCATCTGTACAGTTTTTTTTGTTTTTTGTGTCTTTTTTTAAGACTTTATTTATTTGAGGGTGAGGGGAGAAAGAACAAGCAGGGGAGGGGCAGACAGAGAAGCAGGCTCCCCGCGGAGCAGGGAGCCCGATGCGGGGCTCGATCCCAGGACCCTGGGATCCTGACCTGAGCCGAAGGCAGACGCTTAACGACTGAGCCACCCAGGCGCCTCTTACAGTTTTAAATAAGGAATAAAAGAGAGTGACAGGCCCATCTCTGAATATCTTCAAGAATGGGCTGAGTTTGGAGTGCCTGGGGGGCTCAGTCGGTTATGTGTCTGCCTTCAGCTCAGGTCATGATCCCAGGGTCCTGGGGTCGAGCCCCATGTCAGGCTCCCTGCTCAGTGGGGAGCCTGCTTCTCCCTCTGCCTGCCACTACCCCACTAATTCCCTTTCTCTCTCTTTCTCTCTCTCTCTCTGTCAAATACATAAATAAAATCTTAAAAAAAAAAAGGCTAATTCAAAAAAGAATGGGCTGAGTTCTTATCATCTCTCCGTCTGGGATGTGTGAAGACACTGGGAAGTTCTTTCCCATCCGAGCATGTCAGAACTCTGTGAGGAACATTCTCGCAGAGCATTCGCATTAGTTCCAAATCAGGGACTTGGAAAGCAGCACTGGCTCTTTCAGGGGACATGGGGATATCTTTGGTTGCTGAGATGCTAAGAATTGCACAGGGCTCTAGGGTACATTCTCCAGTGTCCTGAAAGGTTAAAATGACTTTGAAGAAGGGACTGCCACTAAAGAGAAGCCTGAGTCTCTGATTGCGTTTTGCTAACCTACCGCTTGGACTACCAAGACTACCCTTCATTCCTGCAGGGCTATCACTAAGATGGGAAAATCAACAGCTCTCACTTTTAGGGTGCTATTCTACCTGGTGTTTTTCCATATCTGAAATGGGCCACATATTTTACCTATTTTTCTGAGTTCCCACCACAGACGGAATAGAAAGAGGGCCTTCGGTTTTCTGCTTGACATCTGTGGGAGGGTGGAGACTGCTGACTGCAAGCCCGCATCGTGTACTCTGGCCCTCCCCGCTGGGACTGGAACTCTCTGACCTCTGTCTCACCCTCCACACCCCTCAGGCCTCTATGCCTGCAAGGAGGGCCGCAACAGCCCCTGCCTCGTGTACGTCACGTTCAACCAGAAGATCTACGTATACTGGGAGGTGCAGCTTGAGCGGATGGAGTCGACCAATCTGCTGAAGCTGCTGGAGGCTGAGCCAGAGTTCCAGAGCCTCCTACAGGAGCTGGGCGTGGGTGAGTCCCAGGAGAACTTGCAGCTGGAGCAGCCCCGTGCCAGGTGCCCAGGAGATCCCCAACCTCTGACCCACCCCTTTCTTGCCCTCAGATCCTGGCGATGTCCCAGCTGTCCGTGACCTGCTTCACCAGACCCTCTACCGCCCGGACCAGCCGCCACAGAGCGCTCCTGCGAGCCTCCACATTCCCACCTAGCCGGACTTGCCTCTTAGCTGAAGAAGGAGCCTCCTGAACCACCCCCCCGCCCCAGGTATCCATGGTGCTGGCAGAATAGGGAGCAAACATCACAGAGGAGCATGGAAGGATGGCGGCCACCCTAGGGGGGCTGTAAACTGTAGCCTTCATGGTCTTCTTGGTGAAAGAAGAGGCGGGTTGACCCTCCGTCCATTTCCTTGTGTACCTTACCCATCACATCGGCAGGATCATAGGGACCCCAACCTCATTCCACATCATCTGGGACTGCCCCCTCCCCAGAGCGCCCCAGTTTCCTTGTGTGGCAAACAGACTTGTTTGTGAGCAGGGGGCACAAATCTTGTAAGATGCTTGTAAAGAAAGCAGGCATTGGGGCCAGTGGAGCAATGAGTTAAGGGCCCCCCCCCACTATTCCGAGCTCCAGCTCCCCTGGCACAGCTCCAAGTCGTTGGAATTAGTGATTATTGCAGAAACAGCCCACCGTTTTGCTTTTGAGGAGAGTCTTTTAGGACATTTTACACTCTGGTCTTAACTGTTCCCAGCAACCCTGAGATGATTTTCTTCAGTTTAGCAAAGAAACAAACCGGGGCCTAGCACTTTCTCATTTTGCCCTGTGTAAGTACTGTGCAGCTTCGTGGGCCTTGCTTCCATGTCCCCCCAGAACACTCTGTGAGACAACGGACATTTAAAATCTGATGCAGGTTTAGAATCCAGACCACAACAGAATTATATCTTGGGCCAATTTTATCCCTTCTGCTCTCGATTCTGCGCGCTCTAAGTCAGTGTTTTTTCACATTACAGGTTGCAATCCTTTGGTGGGTTGTGGTCAGCATTTTTTGGCTAAATGAAATAGAACAGAATAAAATAGAATGAAAAATATCAGAGCATATCGCTCACAGTATGGGGAAGTATTGTTTTGTTACAGTTGTGTGTGCGTGTGTGTACTGAGTACAAGGTAATATGCATTTCCTGCCATGAGTTGTGTTCAGGGGAGTTTGAAACCATTGTTCTCAATTATCTCGACCCAGCCGGATGGATCAACGTGGGGGAAGGTCCACATTCACACTGCCTTTCCGGTAGGAAGCCAGGGCAGAGTTATCAATTCAGACTCTGATCAACATGGAGGAAGACCAGAGAAGGAGATTAGCATATAGAGAAACAGGTGTTTATTCAAATGGAGAAGCAGCTGAGCCGAAGGCCTGCCCCTGGGTCCGGGGTCTGCAATTACAGAAGCAGCAAGAGGAGGAAGGGAAAAGGCAGGGCCAGGAAAGCAGAGGTGATGGGGTGAGGCAGGAGGGACGAGGGGATCCTTATTACCCATGTGCTAGTTGAGCCCCCTCCTCTTCTTCTGAGGGGAGGGAATGCAGCAGGGAAAGGCAAGACCAGAGGTCAGAGGGCAGCTGGGTGGTGTCCTGCTTCTTCTCTGATCTACCCCAGACTCATGGTTTTGTTTCCACTCCAAGAGCCCTAGTTTCCTAGCTGAGGTTAGTTAGACCACTCTCTTCCTCTACCCCTAACCCATGACCCGAGGGACTGAAACCAGCCAGAAAGACACTCTGGAGTCTGGCTCCTTAAGGTCTGGGTTCCTCTCTTCACAGTGAAGATGAAAAGCCTCCTTGTCTTTTCGCTTTGGCTCAGAGCCTGGCAGGGGATAGAAAGCCACTGATTCCAAAATAAGATAAGATCAAGCTCAGGAGGCCAGAGATGAGAGGGAGGGAGAAGGTGAGCTGAGGTGAGGAGTTCTAGAAATAAGAAAGAATACTGATTAGGTGCAGTCTGAGTACCGAGCACCCCGCCATCCTGTCCACCTTGTGGGGCCAGTTCCTGACAGCACTCCTCCAACCCCCCCACCCCCCCCGAAGTTCAGGGTCCCACTGTGTGAAAAAGCAAGTGGAGGAGGAGAGCTGCCTGGAGAAATGGTAAAGGTCCATCCAAGGTCTTGCACAGGGTGATCACTGGCGTCAGACGTTGGCAACCCCAGAAAAGGTAACGAAGGAAGCTCCCAGCCTCGTGAGGCCTGGCGTTCCTCTACCAACTCACCTTCCCATTGCATTGGAGTATTTGATTGCCTGTTTCTTCCCCCACTCAACTGTGAGCAGTCATGTGCAGAATCAGAAAGGTAGGCGTCAGCAGGGACAGGGCCCCGGGCGGGTGAGGTGCGGCAGTCTAGCTGGGAAAGGTAATGAGCCCCAGAAGGCGAGGGGAGGGGCGTGGGAGTGAAGGCCACCGAGGGGTGGGTGGGGTGGATGGCGGCGGACAGGTGAAGGACGGTAAAGGCCGCAGCCTTTGACTCGGGCCAGTCCCTACTAGGCCACGCTTAACGTCCTTTTCCGCAGTCCTGACTTGGAAAGGAATGGGAGGAGAGAAGCCAGGCCCCTGAGATCACGGGCCCTCTGTCTGGAAGACTCCTGGAAGATTGGGCAGTGGCTGAGAAGCAGAGAGGAATGTGGCTGACTGAGGGACGGCAGGGTCAGGGTGGTGACAGGAGGGACAGACAAAGTAGTCCCCAGCTACCTGGCTGTAGTAATGCCCCATTCCCCCCCCCATACGGCTCTTCCCCAAGGCAAGGTCCTTCCCCTGGGGACCGACTGGTTCAGCAGTCACTGGCCAGGCTCTTGGTACGGAGGCAGGAAGGGTAGCTCTGGGAAGGGGGCTCTCAGGCGCAGTACTCCACGCTCCAGGTCGATACAGCACTGTGGGGGAGGGGAGGGGACAGGGGCACCTCTCTCAGCAGGGAGCCGCTCTCTCAGGCCCCTCCCACTTCCCACAGCCTCCCCCTGCTCCTTGCTCTTGCCCCTGTTTCCATTCACCTGGAGCCCTGGGCTGGGGGGACAGTGGGACCTGGTTCTTGTTTTTCACTTGTGGGCAAATAAGGAACCTCTAAGGAAGCACAGGTGAAATCACGACATCTCCTGGTCTTTCTCATCAGAAGCTGAGCCACACTTCCACGCCTGTGCCTTTTACCTCCTTTTCCCAGCCCTTTGGGTCAGGCTCCAAGTGTGGGTCAAGCGCTAGCGTCCTCCTTACCTTGAGAGAAAGCAGTGTCTGTAGCCCAAGGCAGAACTCGGGACTCTCAACATCTGCAGGAATCATTTGAAAACAGACGAGGCTGGAGGGGCCCCCAGTGGTCACGGTGCCCTCCTGTCAACGCTCGCTCCTTGTCTGCCCACCCCCTCCCCCGGGTCTGAGGATCTGGGCCCAGAGACTGGGGACTCCCCAGCCAGGAGAGGAAAGTGGGAGAGGAAGAAGAGGGCTGGGAATGAAGGGAGGACTCACCCACCACCTGAGCCGAGCAGGCCACCGTCTCCTGGCCCAGCTGAAGCTCCAGCTCCTCCACCTGGGTGGGGGGCCCAGGTGCCAGGCCCCCCCCTGGGGCTTTGAGGACCTTCCCTAACCTGTGGTTGGGAAGCAAGGGTTATGGCCACCCCAGCCCCAGCCCCAGCTGACACCCCTGCCCACACACTTGGGTTCTCACCCAATCCCTTGGCCCCACGTGGGGTCTAAATCCTCGTCTTTGCTGTCAGAGCCCCCCCATCAAGGCTTTTTTTTTTTTAATCACAGCTTTCTCGATACATACTTGATAGACCACAAAAGTCACCCTTTTATAAATGCAGTGGGTTTTAGTAGATTCATAGAGTTAATGCAACTACTACCACTATCTCATTTCAGAATATTTCCTGAATATTTTCTGCCATCCATTCTTGCGGGCCGCGCTCTTACCCCAGGCGGCTGAGGCATCCAGCGGAGATCTGGTTGTGGTGGGTGCCCGTGTCCACGGCCACCCGAAGCTCCTGGTCTCGGCACTGAGGAAGAGGGTCGTGGGGGACTCCGTGAGCCCCCGGGGGGGAAGGGATCGGACTTGGATCCTTCACCTTTCCCAGCCTTTGGATGTTTCCCTCTCCGAAACAAGTGAAGGGAAAGAACCGAGTCTTTCAAAGTGATTTTTATGGCACTCACCCAACTGAGGCCAAACCGGCTCTTAGATGAAGGCATCAAAAAAGGAAGTAGAGCTCCCCAGGGGGAGTCCATACACTTGGGAACGGTTTGACCAGAAATGGAGATCTGTTCGTGGGGAGAAATTCTTGGGAGGCTGAGGGCCTAGTTTAGAGAGGTCTGGGTGAGGGATAGAGGAGGGAGTGAGAAGACCAGGCTGCCGGGAACTTCACATGTGGGTAAGCGACAGGCTCACCACAGAAACGAAGACCGGTTCGCTTTCTTCTGGATATATACACACATTATGGGTGACGCTCAGATATCCCAAATGCATGCAGTTTTCTCGTTCCAGACATTTATTGAGCACCTACTATGTGTGAGAATTGTGGCTGGAAGGCACAGGGGTGAATGCTGTGCCTGGGTGTATGGCATGTAACCCGCATGCTAGAAAGTGTTAAGGTCTACGAAAGGATTGGCAGTGACGTGCCCTAGACGAGAGGGAGGAGAGGCTGTTTCGTCCTGGGAAAGTCAGGAAAGGCTCCAAGGAGGAGGTACCATTTGAGGCCTTAGGCTGTCACCTTGGAACACACGAGCTTTTTCTGAGTGGGGGGGGGGCGGGTTGCAGGATGCCTACGTGCAGGCACCGTTCACGGATGGAGAAGGCACTGAAGAGTACTCACACATTCGCATTCGAAGACTGTATTTGATAAAGGGAAGGAGGAATGACGATGACAGGTGGAACAGCATGGAGGGAAGATGGGTTGAGGCAGAGAGTAAAGCATGTACAGGATCCCAGGTTTTGGTCCAGGCTGGGGGGGAGGGGTGCCTTTTCTCCCTCCCTCCTTCCCTCACCACCCAGGGGAGAAAGGAGGGTGGCTGAAGTGAGCCAGTCACAGCAGGATCGTTCATGAAAGCCGGTGCCCTGGGGGGCCTCTCACCTTGCAGTTGACCAGAAGAGCCGGAATCTCTGTCTTGCTGGTCTTCCTCCTGCTCTCCTGGCCATGAATCAGGGCCTGCACCAGGGGAGACTCCCCCTGAAGCCGACTCTGGTTTCCCTCCACCAGGCGTCTTTGGATCACGCTGTGCGGCTGCTGGCTCCATCACAAAATAAAGAAGGCAAACAGGTCTAAACCCGAGTCTCCAGGCCACTCAGTTCTCCCACCTTAGTCATCCCACGATGATCCCCACCCCCACCCCAGTCCTGCATCTTACGGGAGTAAGAAAGGGGCAGGAGCTTACCCAAGGATCCCAGCAGTCAGAGCATTATAGCAGAGTGAACCCCAGTATCACATCATGCCAGTTTACTGGGATCCCAGGAGATTGCTCAGCAATGAAGAAATGGGAAGAGGAGAACAGTCCATTCTGGGTCAGACTGACCTATAGGCCGACACTACCTCTCAGGGACTAGTATGCGTGGGGAGCTTTTATCTCTGGTCTAGAACACGTTATTTTTGACTTTTTTTTTTTCTCTGTTTCCCCCTTTGACCTCACCCTTCCATGGACTGCAGATGCCAGGGTTGATGATGAGGGGTTACTCAAAAAAAATGAGTAACAGGGGGCACCTGGGTGGCTCAGTCGTTAAGTGTCTGCCTTCGGCTTAGGTCAGGATCCCAGGGTCCTGGGATCGAGCCCCGCATCGGGCTCCCTGCTCGGCGGGAGGCCTGCTTCTCCCTCTCCCACTCCCCCTGCTTGTGTTCCCTCTCTCACTGTGTCTCTCTCTGTCAAAAAAATAAATAAAATCTTTAAAAAAAAAAATGAGTAACAACAACGGAAGACAAAAGAAGTCACGTCTTCAAAACTAGGAAGCTTCAACTCGCCCTCACCTGCAACCAGCTTCCCTCTGTCCGGTCACTCCACTCCCTAAGTTCTGCCGGCTTTGCCTTCTGTATTTATTGAGTCCATCCCCGCTTTGTATCACTGGTTTTGTTCAAGCCTCACCCCAGCTGGCCTGGGTCACCGGGCCGCCTCCCTAAGTTCCTAAGAACCTGCCTCCAGTACCGTTGCCTCTCAGATATACCTGCTCGAAGCCAGTGATGATCTAAAGCCCTCATGACTCAAAGTGTGGCCCTCAGGTCAGTAGCTTTAACATCACTTGGAAGCCTGTTAAAAATGCAGAATCGAGACCTGCTGAATCAGAAGCTTCATTTTAACAAGATGCCCTGATGATTGGTGTGCATGTCCAAGTCTGAGAAGCACCAAAGTAAAACAAAACTAACTCTGTTACTCCTGTTTAAAATCCATCAAAGCACAGCCGCCTCCTGCCACCTACGTGCTAAAGCCTGAACTTTTTAAGGTGATGCACAGCCCAGGTGACCTGGCCACTGCCTGGTCTTCAGCCTTGTCTCCCGCTCGACACATCTGCCCCTGTGACCCCGCTTGTACTGCTTACCCCAGGCTGCTGTTCGCCTCCACACCTTGGCTCCTGCTCAGCCCCCTTCCTCAGACTCCTCTTTCTCATTCTCTAGGCCAGACTGGATGACTGGTTCCACATACTTTGTTCAGGAACTACTCTTTAGGGGTGCCTGGGTGGCTCAGTTGGTTAGCATCTGAAAGCATCTGCCTTGCGCTCAGGTCATGATCCTGGTGTCCTGGGATCAAGCCCCGCATCGGGCTCTCTGCTCAGTGAGGAGTCTGCTTCTCCCTCTGTCCTTCACCCCACTCATGCTCGCTCTCTCTCTTTCTCAAACGAATAGATAAAATCTATTATCTAAAAATCTTTTTTTAAAAAGATTTTATTTATTTATTTGACAGAGAGAGACACAGCGAGAGAGGGAACACAAGCAGGGGGAGTGGGAGAGGGAGAAGCTCCTCTGCGGGGAGCCCGACGCAGGGCTCGATCTCAGGACCCTGGGACCATGACCTGAGCCGAAGGCAGACGCTTAATGACTGAGCCACCCAGGCGCCCGTAAATAAAATCTTTTTTAAAAAAATGAGCTACTCTCTATTTGGGAGAGAGATTTTTGTCTAAGTCTGAAATTCCATACATATCCTGTAATTAATGTGCAGTTTACCTCCTCCGGGAAGCCCTCTCTGACTTCTCTGTACTCTTCATTCCACATACCAGGCTGGGGCCAGCACCCCTTCTCTTAGCTCCCTTTGTCATGCTTCTCACAGATGTGATTTGTGGATTTTAACTCCCCCATTAGCCTGGAGAGCCTGTGAGGTCAGGTCTTTATATCCCAAGGCTTAGCTTAGCATATGGTAGGCACTCAATAAATGTTTGTTGAAGAATGACTGTATCTGCCCAGGCTGCACACATGCTTCTCCACCTGCCCTGTCTTCTTGGGAACCTGGGATTGTTTTTCTACCCTTGGTTTAATGAGGCCCTTGAGGCCGGCTCCTCCTGCCAACAAGGCTGCCAGCAGGAGACCCAGCTCTGGGAAAAGGTCAGTGAACTCTGGAACTGGCCGGAAAGAGCGGCCCTGTGGTTCCCAGCTCTCCTCCCGCCTTTCCCACGATGGAGGCAGGCTTCAGGCCCCCAGTGCTGTGCAGTTTGCTCCAGAGTTATCCTAGGGAGGGAGACAGTGGGGTCCTCCCAGGTGTCTTCACTCCCAAAGCCACACAACAGAACTGCTTGAGATCATTCTCTGGGAGGTCCTGAGGCAGAGGGGTGAGGTGAGAAGCTCGGGACTTCTCATCAGAAGGCTGCACCTGCCCTTCTGGGATGGCAGTGTTAATAGAGCCTCTTCTCCAGGGCCAGAGAAATGTAGGATGGTCTCCAAACCACAGAGCCTTTGAGGACCAGCTGCCCCGTTGCCCTGTTTCTGCCTATTTCTCAGCTGTGCTTGCTGTGTATGCAAGGAGGGAGCAGCCCTGAAGTTCCCTGAACTGAGATCTCAGTCACTTTTCCTCTCTGGGCGCTGCTGGGAATCAGCTGGGAATCGGCTGGCCTCTCGGCTGGGTTCCTGGAGGGGGACCATTCGTCTAGGAGGAATATGGCAGGGCTAGGTCAGGAAAGGGAGAGAGCGGCTGCATTAGCCTCCTGGCTAACGCCGGGCTGAGGCCCCTGGAGTTGACTTTGTGCCTCTCAGGTTGCAGGACTGCCATCCCCTCAGACCCTCTGATGAGGAATTGCGTGAGGGTACAGAGTGCTTCCAAGCCCTTCTACCAAAGCCTTCCTTTCTTCTAGGAGCCAGAGGCCAGATAGGACTCCATATTCTCTAGACCCTAGAGAGCTTATTTTCTCTCTCGAGCCAAATGGAGTAGTAGCTGGAGGAACAATCCTAATTAGACCTTAGATAGTGCTTTCTGTTTTCTAGGCACTCTTCGAAGACCCTTATAGGTATTAGTTCTGCCACTCCCACGGCAACCCGATGAGGGAGATACTACCAATTTTGTCCTCATTTAGCAGACGAAGAAACAAGCTCAGAGACAAAGCAACTTGCCCAAGGTAGCAAGTGGCAGAGCCAGGATCTGAACCCAAGCAGTCTGGCTCCAAAGCCCATGCTCTTCACCACTCTCTCAGAGGGAGATGAGTGTATGCAGCTGTCCCCCGACCCACTCACCTCCTCCTTGTTACGCGCCCCCCCCCATTCCCTCTGGAGGCCACAGCCGCTGCAGGAGATGGAAGGAAAGGAGGCTGGAAGGGCCAGTGCCCCTACAAGGGAGTAAGGGGGCACTCTGGAGGGCCGGTGGCTCAGGCAAGAGCCATGCAAAACCCTGGGCTCTGGAAAGGCCAGAGGCCCTTACTGCTTCCATTGTGCAGGGGAAAGACAACAGAATGGCCAGAGCTGGTAGGAGGGAATCTCTTGTTTCGGGATAGGACAGAAACCACAACCCTAAGCTGGCCAGGCCTCCAGGCCCTTCCAGCAGCTAATGACTGCTCCAGAAGGTTCCTGTGTCCTTGTAAGCCTCTTCTCCTAAAGAGCACATCTCCTCATCATCCCAAGACAAACCTTGGACTATTTGGGAGAAGCTGAGCAATGCAAACAGGGTCTCCCAGAGCCACCAAACCATGGGACCATCCCCCGTGAAGAGTCTGAGAGCAGTCAGAGCGGAGCCCCTCAAACTGGGACTAACTCTGCCCCATTCTCGGCAAAGGAGAGGGGATCTGAAGGCTTAGGGACTGTTTTTTCCAGCCCTCCACCCCCCTCCCCAGGATACAGGGAGATGGAGAGGAAGAGTGGGGAGAGGGCTGCCTCACCAAGTCCTTGGAGGTGCCGAGCCTCTTGAGGCTGTCCAGGGGGAGCAGGTCGGCAGAGTCCTTGTGCAGGAACTGGGTGGCCTGTCTGAGCCGGCGCTGCTGGCTCAGGGGGGCTCGGTCCCCAAGCGCTCCCTCCTGTCCCCTCCTCCTCCTGGAGTCTCCCTCCTCTCTCCTGGCCTCCTGCCTGGTGCTCACAGCCCCTGTGGGGCTTGACGAGCTTGATGAGCAGGGTGGGGGCTGCTGAACTGTCCTTCCCTCCATCCCCTCTGCCTCCTGCTTCCCGCCTGTGCCCGCTCCCGGGACGGCAGCTCTCCTGATGGGAGGGTCTCCACGGGGGCAGAGGAAATCAATAAATAATGTGCAGGAGCAGCCGCGTCAGACACCAGTTTCCAGGGATTGCAGTAGAGGGAGTGAGGCTCTGGCTGGAAAAACCCAGCGCTCCAGGAGAAGGGGGGGTTGGCAGGGCCTGCAGGTGGCAGGCTCTGCAGCGCATCCACCTCTGGGGTCCTGGTCGGAGTGGTTGGTGGAAGGGGTGTGTGTGTGTGTGTGTGTGTGTGTGTGTGTGTGTGTGTATGCCTGCAAGCTCGAGGGCGTGTAAGAGTGTTGTAAACTGTCAGGGTGTCCGTGCCAGCTTGTTTGAAAGGCGGTGCGCGTGGGTGTGCGGGGGAGTCAGCCTGCGTGCTTGCTGCGTGCATGGGAGGCAGGCACGTGCATCCATGTGCATGCGCCCTCCCTTCTCCTGGGGCTGCCCCGTTGCTCTCTCCCCTGGGCTTCTCTGCAGGTCAAGGGTGGGGTGCAGGCCAGTAGCTAGGTTCAGAACAGAGGGGCAGCCTCAGGATGTCCTTCCCTCCTCTCCTCCCCATCAACAGGAGAGGTTTCACCTTTCTGGGTCTCGACCTTTCCGCGTGGCAGGTGTCAAGAGTCTTTAGCTAATGTACTCTGCGTTCTGGGTCCCAGGGGGCGGGGGCGGCAAGAGCAGCTCTGAATCTCCCCACAAGCGGGGCCCCAGCTTCTTTCTCCCTCTTCTTTATGTAAGGCTGATTCAGTCCTGGCTCTTTAAAAAGTGTTATAATTCAAACACTCAGAAAGTTGTCAGGAGGGGCACCTGGGTGGCTCAGGTGGTTAAGCGTCTGCCTTCCGCTCAGGTCATGATCCCAGGGTCCTGGGATTGAGCCCAACATCCGGCTCCCTGTTCAGCAGGGAGTCTACTTCTCCCCCTCCCTCTACCCTTCTCCGTGCTCATGCTCAGACAAATAAATAAAATCTTTAAAAAAAAGAAAGAAAGAAAGAAAGTTATCAAGAATAACCAATATCTTTTACTGGCTACCTCAGTTAAAAAAAATAACCGAACTATTATAAATATAGTCAAAGCGACCCCTGCAGCTCTCCTCCCCAGACAAAATCCCTTCTTCAATCTATGTTTCACCATTCCCATACTTGTCCTTTTATTCTTTATGCATATGTATATACATGTATCCTAAGCAACATATCATTTCGTTTTGCCTGACCCATTACATATGTCCTTCTGCAATTTGTCCTTTTTGTGCTCAGTATTTTATTAGTGAGACTCATCCACGAGATATGCATTGCTCTATTAATTCTCTTTAACTGCTGTATGTTATTCCTCTGTGAATGCATCACGTTTAGGAAATTTAGGTTATTTTTTGTTAGATTTTTTTTTTGTTTTTATTTTTGTAAGTAGGCTCCATGCCCAGCATGGGGCTTGAACTCACGACCCTGAAATCAAGAGTCACATGCTCTACTGACTGAGCCAGCCAGGCGCCCCTTAGGTCATTTTTCATTTACAAACAATGGTATTAATAATATTTTTACACGTACTTCCTGGGCACACGTGTAAACATTTCTCTAGAGTACATACCTGGGTGTGGAATGGCTGGGGCCTCAGATACACAGCTTCTCCCCCCGTTAGCATAATGCCAACTTGCCCTCCAGAGTATTTATACCAATGTGCACTCCAGTTATCCGTATTCGGGGGTTCCTTGGCCTGCACTTCCTCACCAGCACTTGGAATCAAACCTTTTACAGCCCTGACTCATCTCTCATCAGATTTTTCTCTCCAGCCTTTTATCTTCACCATCATCAAAATGCATTGGGTCAAGCACCTGCCCACATGTGTTGGACACATACAGGATGGGAGCCCCAATCAAGTCTTACTCCCTAGGGGCACCGTCTTATCCAGATATCACCAAGGTGCACACACACATTCAGAGGGACAAGATTTCCAACGGCCTCCTGCAGACCCAGCCTGTTTGAAGCATTTTCACAGCCATGACAAGTATATGAGGAAGAATTGCACTGTGATCCCTGTTTATAGACGAGAGAAATAGCTAAGTGTTATGGGTTACATTGTGCCCCCCACAAATTTGTACATTGAAGTCCCAACTCCCAGCACTTCAGAATGTAACCTTATTAGGAGACAGGGTCTTTAGAGAGATAATCAAGTTAACATGAGGTCACTAGGGTTGACCCTAATCCAACATGACTGTGTCCTTGCTAAAAGGGGAAATTTGGACACAAATTCCTGCACACAGGAAGAATGCCCCATAAACGTGAAGCCTGAGAGTGGGTGATGCATCTATAAGCCAAAGGGTGCCAAAGGTTGCCAGTATCCACCAGAAGCTGGGAGAAGGAGGGCCTGGGCCAGATCCTTTCTCAGCACCCTCAAAAAGAATCAACCTTGCTGGCACCTTGATCTTGGACTTCCAGCCTCCAGAACTGTGAGACAATACATTTCTGTGGTTTAAGCCATCCGGTTAGTGGTACTTGCTATGGCAGTCCCAGGAAGCTAATACACTGAGACTTAGAAATCTCACCTAACATTCAGTTACTGTATGGCAGAGCCAGGAATCAGACCCTTGTGTTCTGTCTCCCAAGTCCTGCGCAATGTCCACCATGCAAAAAGAGAAGACTGATGAAGACGATAAGCACGGAATGAACACCAAACTGTAGTGTGATTCCATTGATCAAGTTCTGGCCCACCTGCACCCTGGTTTCATTTACACTCAGTTTCAGTGGAATATTCCAGCTCCCTCCCATGCCTTGACATCTATTACTGCCACACATTTGCCTGGGATAGAGCTCAAAGAGGATCCACTGACACATTGTGCTGGTTCCTGTGGTTGCTTCACTAGGGCCAACTATATGCATTGATAGATCAGTGAGTGGCCTACATACACAATGCTGGATGGGCCCAATGCTGAAATGTGTCTCCTCCAACTTTGTTTTTGGCAATTCACTCCTTAGGTTTGAAAATTCTTCAACATCTTCAGGAGGTCTTGATTAATTCATTTTTTTTTAGGAAGAATAACGCTATTAATGAAGAACAACAAGATGATCCCAGCGCATTTAGCAAAGTTGCCTCAGGCCAGGCTGACAACATGGATGGGATGTCTCCAAACTCTTAGGTGCACTTCGGTCTGCAGACTGAACTCCAGGGAAGAGTGAACATACCTTTGGTATAGAATGGAGACTTTGGAGTTGGCAGTTTAGATGGGGTGAGGTTCAGGATAGCATCACCTCTATTACAGTTGCTCTGACAAGGCCTTTGTTGCCTGGTGCTGGGAAGCACTGGTGCTCAGGAAATGCCATTTTCTGGAATGTAGCTGTGCAAAAGAGTCAAGTTGGTCCCTGTGTTCTGTGACCCAAACTAATGCTCTCTAATGATTCACTATCTATCTCACCATCTGGGACTGGGACTCAGCGATAAGGAAACTCCCTTTCGAGTTTTTGTGATCCTTACTTACTTCCTTTGTAAATTTGTCCCCCCCCCCCCCCCCCCCCCCCATAAGCCCTACGGGGCTCTGCGCAAGTTCCCAGGGGCTGCCTCTCACTTCACCCCCCCCCCCCGCCCCCGGCCAAATTGCAGAGAGAATGGGCATGTTCTAGCAATGCAAAACTCTGAGTTCTTCTTTCTCAGGAGCTAAAGCACTCCCTTTGATAAGATGATGAACCCAATGCTATCTACTCATCCAATGCAATCCATATCAAAATACCAGTAGTATTTTTCACAGAACTAGAATGAACAATCCTAAAATTTGTATGTAACCACAGAAGGCACTGAATAGCCAAAGCAAGCTTGAAAAAGAAAAGCAAAGCTGAAGGCATCACAATTCTAGATTTCAAGTTATATACAAAGCTACAGTAACCAAAACAGTATGGTCCTGGCACAAAAACAGACAATAAATCAATGGAACAGAATAAAGAGAACCCAGAAATAAACCCACGCTTATATGGTCAGTTAATCTACGACAACGGAAGTAAGAACAATGGGGAAAAGACAGTCTCTTCAACAAATTGTGCTGGGAAAACTGGACAGCAACATGCAAAAGAATGAAACTGGACCACTATCTTACACCACACACAAACATAAACTCAAAATGCATTAAAGACATAAATGTAAGACTTGAAACCATAAAAACCCTAGAAGAAAACATAGGCAGTAAACTCATGGACATCAACCTTAGCAACACTTTTGTGGATCTGACTCCAAAGGCAATGGCAACAAAAGCAAAAATAAACAATTGTGGGGTGCCTGGGTGGCTCAGTTGTTAAGCGTCTGCCTTCGGCTCAGGTCATGATCCGGGGGTCCTGGGATCAAGCCCCACATGGGGCTCCCTGCTCCGCGGGAAGCCTGTTCTCCCTCTCCCACCCCCCCTGCTTGTGTTACCTCTCTCGCTGTGTCTCTCTCTGTCAAATAAAGAAATAAAATCTTAAAAAAAATAAAAAATAAACAATTGTGACTACACCAAAATAAAAAGCTTCTGCACAGAGAAGGAAACCATTAATAAAACAAAAAGGCAGCCTACTGAATGGGAGAAGATATTTTCAAGTGAGGTATCTGGTAAGGGGCTAATATTCAGAATATATAAAGAACTCATACAACTCAATAACAAAAACCTCCCAAATAATCCTATTTGGGCAGAGAACCTGAATAGACATTTTTCCAAAGAAGACATACAAGGCATACATGATCAATAGACACATGAAAAGATGCTCAACATCACTCATCATCAGGGAAATACAAATCAAAATCACAGTATCACCTCAGACCAGTCAGAATAGTGTGCTGGTGAGGATGTGGAGAAAGGAGATCCCTCTTGCACTGTTGATGGGAATGCAAACTGGGGCAGCCACTCTGGAAAACAGTATGCAGTTTCCTCAAAAAAACTAAAAATAGAGCTATCATATGATCCAGTAATTCTACTTTTAGGTATTTACCCAAAGAAAAACACTAATTCAAAAAGATACATGCACCTCTATGTTTATTGCAGTGTTATTTATAATAGTCAAGATATGGAAGCAACCTAAATGTCCATCAATAGATATATGGATAAAGAAGATGTGGTATAAAATTGCACTACTGGGTACTTACCCGCCGAAAATGAAAACACTAATTCAAAAAGATATATACACCTTTATGTATATTGCAGCACTATTTACAATAGCCAAATAATGGAAATGACCCAAGTGCCCATCCATAAATGAATAAAGAAGATGTAATGTGTACACACACACACACACACACACACACACACACACACACAGTGGAATACTACTCAGCCATAAAAAGGATGAGATCTTGCCATTTGCAGCAACATGGATGGACCTAGCGGGTTTTATGCTAAGTTAAATAAATCAGACAGAGAAAGGCAAATGTCACATGATTTCACTTATATGTGGAATCTAAAAAAACAAAACAAGTGAATAAACAAACAAAAAACAGAAACAGATCCATAAGTACAGAGAACAAACTGATGGTTGTGGGAGGGGAGAGGGTGGGGAGTTTTGGCAAAACAGGTAGAGGGGATTAAGAGGTACAAACTTCTAGCTATAAAATAAATAAGTCATGAGGGTGAAAATTACAGCCTAGGGAATATAATCATTAATATTGTAATAACTTTGTAGGGTGACTAATGGTGACTACATTTAATCATGACTGAGCACTGCATAATGTATATAATCATCAAATCACTATATAGTACACCTGGACCTAATATTATATGTCAACTGTACTTTGACTTTAAAAAAATCTAGGCTTGTCTAACTAAAAAAAAAAAAAAAGAGAGAGAGAGAAATGGAAAAATGCCAGGGAATGTTCTGAGGCCAGTTTGTATACTCAGCGGGTGGTCTGTATCTTTGCCAACAACTTACCTCACTTCCCTCTCCTGGTCGTTTTTTTTTTTAAGTTTATTTATTTTTAGTAATCTCTGTACCCAGTGTGGGGCCCGAAACCCTGATCAAGAGTTGCATGTTCTTCTAATAAGCCAGCCAGGCACCCCATCCCCTGGTCATTTTTTAACCTGAAGGTTATAGAACTCAACAAACCAATTCATTAGCAAGGAATAACTACATTGAATTCCAAAGATGAGACACAGGAGGAGAAAACTTCCAGGAGCACTATTGAGGAAGATTAAACCAGTCTTCTATTATCAGGAGTAGAAGTGGAGATTTTCCTCTCATTTTTTCCATCTTGTGGTTCACATAGATGTTGAAATGAATGGATCCAAATTCAGAAATTTTGCGAGAAAAAAATGGAAGCATGAGATTTGGCTCCCTCACTGCATTGATTCTCCTCTGAATTACAGCAAATTTTCCTTTCATTCAGTCAAAAAGGATTTATTGAGTGCCTACTCTATGTCAGACGCTGAGGTAGGCTCTGGGCATATAATGGTGAACCAGATGAAAGGCCCGCCCTCACGGAGTTCGCATTGTAAGGAGGAAGGCAGATGGTGAACAACTACATTTAGAACAACAGGTAGTGATGAGAGAGCCATGGGGGTCAGGCGATGGGTAGATGACACCATGCATAGATGAGAACAAGGTGAGGGAGAGGGCTGTGCACATAGCTGGAGGAAGGGGGTCGCACACGGAGAACTCGGAATAATGCAGGTAAGAAAGGCTATAGGCTGGGACCGTGCTTGTCCCCACACACACCCGGACACCTCTGCATCCCTTCTGTCTGGTCTGGCTCCTCGGTGACCAGTCACTCACACCAGGAAGATGAGCGGGGGTAGAGAGCACTGTCTCCTGCTATTGAGAGAATGGAGTTACCTCGTCTACTCCAGGATGGAACCCTCTTCCTGGCTCCCCTTGGCACAGTGCTCTTTCCCCCCGGGTTAACAAGCCACCAAACCCTGAGTCCGACAGACCTGAGAGGGTTGGGATTCCCTCTACTGAAAGAGGACACAGAATGCTGCTGTGTGGGTTCCAGAACAGCAGTATTTCTAGCGATGAGGAAGGCGGAGAGAGGCATCGAACATAAGGTTCTCTTGGTCTTCACGCTCACAGGCTCCGGGTCTTCTGCAGAACTTTCTGCCTTTAGATAAAACCAGACCACACCTTATCCTTGCCATTGGGTATCAGACAATCATTAGCAAGTCTAGATTTGTGTTGGCCAAGACGGCAGTCACCAGCTACAGATGGTTATCGAGTACTTGAAGTGCGGCTAGTCTAAAGAGAGCTTTGTTGTACATGTAAACTATACACCAGATTTTGAAAACAATACAAGAAACAATGTGAAATACTTCAATTATTTTTACATAGTTTACATTATTTTATATTGATAATATTTTGGATCTATTGTATTAAATAAAATATGTTATAAAAATGAACTTCGGGACGCCTAGGTGGCTCAGTCGGTTAAGCGTCTGCCTTCAGCTCAGGTCATGATCTCCAGGTCCTGGGGATCGAGTCCCACATCAGGCTCCTTGCTCAGTGGGGAGCCTGCTTCTCCCTCTGCCTGTCACTCCCCCTGCTAGTGCTCTCTCTCTTTCTGACAAGTAAATAAAATCTTTAAAAAAATGAACTTCACCGTTTTTGCTTTTTTATTTATTTAAAAATTTATTTATTTATTAGAGAGAGAGAGAGGGCACGAGAGTGCAGGGTGGCAGGTAGAGGCAGAGGGAGGGAGAAAGAGTTTCAAGCAGACCCTGAGCAGAGCTTGGAGCCCTGAGCAGGGCTCAATCACATGACCCCAAGATCACAACCTGAGCCAAAACCAAGAGTCAGAAGCTCAACCAACTGAGTCACCCAGGCGCCCCAACGTTTTACTTTTTTTAATATGGCAACTAACAAATTTAAAGTCACATACACAGGTCTATTATATTTCTACTGGATGGCACTGGTCTAAATAGATTCACAGCTCATTTCCTTGAACCTGATATAATCTGTGTGAGCAACTCTCTGCTCTTTCAGGAAGTTCTTCTTTATATCTAATCTAAATCCCTGTAGCTATTATTCAAAATCCCTGCCTTCTTGTCCAAGCCTCAATGTTGATGGAGATGAACTGGTTCCCACCTTCCTTGGGATAAGCTTTCATGCCTCTAAATATCTTTATACCTCTTCTTTTTAGCCTTTTTTCTTCAAGGCTTGAGTAGTGCTGATTCTTAACTCTGACAGCAGGGATGGGGAGGAGAGCTCATCTGGCACGGTGAAATCACCCAGACATTGCTCTGCCACATAAGGAAATTCCCAGAATATTCTTCACAGAATGGGTCATTCAGAGCTTAGACAAACAGCTCCCTTGAGCCCGTGGAAGGTTAAGGGCAGTCAGTTCTATTTTGGGCTTTCTCCTCTGGCCCTGTCAGATCTGCTGAGGACAGGAATGAAGCTGTTTTCCAGAATTCTCCTGTCCAGCAAGGGTCCCAGGAGGTCTGTGCCAATTTTGAGATTTATCACCCTACCTCCACCCCAAAGACTACCAGACTATGACAACGTTTTATATTTGACACTTGGTTGATCTTCTCCTACTTTATGGATGGCAAAACCAAGGCACAGAAAATCCCAGTGTTCATCTCCATTGATGAAACCAGACCGAACATGGTATTTTGAACTCAGATGAAGCTTGGTCAAGTATTCCAACTCAGTTATTAACTAACTCTGAGTGAAGTGCTTAAGCTTTTGGAATCTACTTCCTCTCCTGTAAAATTGAAATGACATGTAATTTGTAGAATTTCTGTGAAGTTTAAATGAGAGGCAGGAAAACAAATTGGTTAAGAGCGCTCTGTGCCTCAGTTTACTCCTCTCTAAAATGGAGATTATGATGGGACCTATCTCATAGTGTGAGGATTAAACGGGGTGATTCTTGGAAAGTTCTCAAAACACTGCCTAACACGTAATGACTGCTGAGTAAATGTTTGCTGTTGTTGGGGAGCTGTATATGTCAGTACACACATGTGTGCTTGCACACAAACATGCACACTCTCAGATGCCTCTCCCCTTTGCTCCCAGAGTACAACTGGATTGGCTATCTCTGACATTATTTCTCACACTATTTTTAATTACTTGTCCACCTTCCCACCAGACCCTAGGCTTTCTAAGGGTGGGTTTTTTTTATCCCCCCTGTCTTTTCTCTCTCTTCTTAGCCAAAATTAGTTGAACGAATGGGTCAGCAGGACTCCCGTGGACACAGGAGGAAATGTGCCATTATTAACCCATCTACTCAGGCGATGAGACACTAGAACAGCCCGTTGAGTTCCCCACCTGAACTTGGCAGCAGAATCCAACTAATGCCCTGGGCTCTCCCTCCAGACCCCCGTCTATTCATTCCCCTTTCTTTTGCACCCACAGGAAGTACTTGCCAATTCCTCTCACCTCCTGGGGTCTGTGCCAGAATCTGGATCCTGCAAATGCCCTCAGCAGATCTGACAAAGCTGCCCAGCGCCTCCACCCATGCTGGACCTTGTTGCTTCAGAGACTCCTGCTTTGCCTTTCCTCTGGCTTCAGCACTTCTCCTCTTCGCTCCTGTGTTTATCTGCTTTCTTTCCTGCTTCCATTTTCCTCCATTTTCCCCTCTTTCCTCGCTGAAGCTTTGGGCTGGCCCTTGGCACCTCTGGCCATGACCCCCATTTCCTAGTGATACTCGTGCCAAAGAATTCACTGACTATTTGCTAGGAACCATGTATGATACCTAGTGTCAGTGTTGAGTGAACATCCGGGGAGAATGGTGGTAGGCTAAGGGGAACCACCCGGCAAAACCTTGACCTTCGGCTTGGAACAATGGCAAGATGCAACAACATGGAGGTGTTTGTAAGGTTCTGTCCTGGGACCTGCAGAGAGTGTGTCAGCTTGAGATTACCGTGAGATGGGCAACTATATGAATGACCACCGAAACCACTAGTTATGATGATACATAGGAAGAAGCAACTATTTGTATAGTAAATAAGTAAAGGTCAGTGGACATCACACGTAGGAGAGGGCTTGGAGGCTGATAGAGAAACAAGAAGATGAAGGGCTTGGAGCAAGCGAGTCAGCGATGAGTAGACACAAAAAGGCCAGAGGGTCCTGAGGAAGGTGGGAAGTGAGTCTGGGGGAGAAAGAATGTCTGATTTGTCACCTCAGGGAGCAGCAATGGGGCTTTTAGACACCTGGCAATTAGACGGGACAAGGCTGGCAGGCAGCCAGATGAAGACTGAAGACTGAAGATCATGGTTGACAGTGTGGCTGGCTCTGCACCTCTCCCAGGGGTTCCCAGCCCCACAGCTTCCGACACGCACTGACCCCCAACCATCCCCCCGCCCCCCCAACCATCCCCCTGGCCCCCAGTCACTCAGGCTCATGAGACTAATACCTGCCTGAGGCAGAGGGAGGTTGCAGAAGGGGAGGTGTTGACCCAGAAATGGCTCTGAGGCCTCTGTGCTGGGATTAATTAACGTCCGTGAAGCCCGTGCCATTCAGCAGAGCACGGGGTGTTCTGGGATTGGTGTGCTGGGTATGTTGGGGGAGGAATGTTCACTCTGCTTCCCCTCGAAAGTTATGGTGAGAGAGTAGATCTTTAAGGCAGGCCGGGAAGAGCAATCCCCCGCTCCACCCCAACAAAGGCTTTCAAGAACTCCATACTTATTAGTGGATGTGGGGCAGGGTGAGGGGGATGGTGTTCATGGCTGCTAGCAGGCTGAGCTGGGGATCGCCTTGGAAGAGTCCCCAGGCCCAAGAGGGGGTCTGGATACTATTGCTGTCCCTCAGATCTCCACAGCCCAGTGCAGCTCAGGAATTTCAGGAGCCTTGCTTCTGCATCTCAGGCTGGCCCGTGGACAAGAAGGCCTCTGATGATCCTGTAGTCCCCCTTGCCAGCAGGAAGGAGATTGCTATCCAGAGAGCCGAGCAGAAAGGTGGTGGGTCGGGTGGAAATCCTGCCGGGAGGCTAGCAGCCTCTGGACTGGTGTGGGTCTGCCAAGGCAGGAGTCTGTGTAAGTGCCCCTTACCTTGCGGCCTTCCCGTAGCTTCCAGGCCAGCAGGGGAGGAGGCTTTCTCTGAAGAAACCCAGTGGCCTCCTTCCTCCCACTCTCTAACTCTCCATATTAACCCTCTAAGTTTCCCTGGGGCCTCTCATTGTGGAGGTGACAAAACCCAGGCATCAGTAGGCTAGTTGCTGAGATAGAATAATAGAAGTGGGATGACAACACAAGCCCGTAAGTCCCAGCCCCCAGCCCAGTGTCTCATTTCTACTTCCGGGAGGGCGGGGATGCCTGGCTGTGTAGCCCCGAGCAAGCCACTTCTCCATGGGTCTCGGTTTGCCATCTAAACCCTGCAGCTCCCCCTGCTTGTGCTCTCTGACAAACAAATAACATCTTTTTAAAAAATTAAAAAATAAATAAATAAATAAACCCTAACGGGGTTCGACTTGTGTCCTCACAGCCTGCCCAGTCCTGAACTGTTAGGACCCTAGGTAAAGGGACCTCCTGCTTTCCACCATCGTTCTTAACCCAGAGTGGGAAGGAGGGGCACATTCCCAGAGCTGTCACTCCCCTGGAGTACTCAGGGGACTCTCCGTAACCCCTGGGCTCTGGTCCCCGCCCATCGCCCACACATATCCTGGGGAGAAGTGTTAGGGAGAAGGACTACTGAAGGGAACCACAGATTTGGAACCAGAAGGAAATCTGGAAACTCTCTATCACACCCTATTTACTGTAATTGTTTTTAATTGAGACTAAATCCGCATAAAAAAACAATTGCCATTTTTAAAGTATACAGTTCAGTGGCATTTTGTTCATTCGTGATGTTCTGCAACCACTTCTATCTAGTTCAAAAATATTTTCCCCACCCTAAAAGAAAACCCTGTACCCACTGAGCAGTCAGTCCCCACTTGCCCCTCTCCCAGCACCTGGCAACCACCAACTCACCTTCTGTCTCTATGGACTCGCCTTTTCTAGATATTTCTTAGAAATAGAGTCATATCATACGTGGCCTTTTGTGCCTGGCTTCTTTCACCCAGCGTCATTTAAAAAAAAAGATTTTATTTATTTGAGAAAGTGAAAGAGAGTGAGCAAGTGAGACAGAGCACGAGCGTGGGGTGGGGAGGGGTGGGGGGGGTCAGAGGGAGAGGGAGAAGCAGGCTCCCCACTGAGCCAAGAGCCTGACACGGGGCTCCATCCCAGGACCCTGAGACCATGACCTGAGCCTAAGGCAGATGCTTCACCGACTGAGCCACCCAGGCGCCCCTCAGCGTCATATTTCCAAGGTTCATCCACATTGTAGCATGTGTCAGTACTTAATGCCTCTTTATGGCTGAACAACATCCCACCCATTGTTTTTATTCTATGAGTAATGACTGGTTGATAGCTTCATTTATGGAGGGTCTACACTGGGCCAGACACTTTGCAGGTACTTCACTTCTATTATTTTCTTTATTCCACTGATTTGTACCCTAGTAATCCCACTGTGCAGATGAGGAAACTGAAAGCCTGAGAGTAATAATGCCCTTCCCAAAGGTCATATCGCTGGTTAGTGGTCAAACCAGGGCTAGAACCCTGGTGGGGTTTCAATTCCTGGGTACCTAGGGGGCTTGAGAAAAGCGGGCAAGATGGCAGTGGCCAGAAGGCCAGGAGAAGCCCCGCTGAGGAAGATCACCAACCTGGGGTAGGACAGGGGCACACGGAGGTGAGGCGGGCCCGCACCATACAAGTTCTCCCCTTCCAGCCACCTCCCTGCTGCCCCTTCTCCTGGGCCTCCCACACCCAATCTCTACCCCAGCTGGGGGTAGCACCTTTCTGACCAACAGGATTTGCCTGCCTCCACCTCAGGCCCCTTGTCTCTGGCCCCCCACAACAAAAGCTGGGGCATCCGGGGTTACCTGTAGCACAGGCCCAAGGCCCTAACATAATGCTCTGAGGTGACCACCATTTTACCTTGAATCTCTACTTTGCTCTACTTCTGTCCCTCCGCAGAGACCTGGCCAGCCTTCCTCAGCCCTGACTTTTCCATTCTCTAGCACCAGTCTTGGTCTGACCTCGGCTCCCAAACCCTGCGGGGGAACGGCAACCCAGCAGAGTTGCTTCTGGTCTTTGTCCAGACATCACATGGTCTAGGGAGGTAGGGAATTGAAGTTATTTTGCCTCAGAAGCTTCCTGTACCCTGACCAATCCCAGTTTTGTTCCAAATGGGTTATGGGAGTCAAGGTAACTTCATAGTCATATTGCTTACAGTGCCTCGTCCCCCACCCCAACACACACACACACACACACACACACACACACCCCTTCTTCCTCCCCACTCCTCATTCTGTCCCTAAAAACTGGATCCCCCTCTGCCGTCCCTGCTCTACCCGCACTCAATCTTCCCACCTGCTATGAGAGAGTCCTCCAAGGAAGACAGATAATAATTTAGAGTTTCAGTAGAGTCTCCAGGAGCCTGGGGGACAGAGGTGGCTTGCAGTTGAAGGGATGGTGGTGAGGCTCTGTTGTGCAGAAGCCAGTCCTTCAGCCACCCCAAAGGCTTCTTGCTGAAGGTGTACTGGTTGAGAACACTGTAGCCCACCACAGTCCTCGCCCAGATGGAGGCTCTATCTTTAGATCTGTCCAGGTCTTCTCTTTGTCTTCCTTGCTAAGGTTTTACCAGGAGGTGCTTTGGAGAGATGACAGAGGGGCAAGGCAACCCGGTTCTCTATCAGGGTTTGGTAATTCCTCACAAGGTCCTGGCTCAGGGGTGTGCTGGGCAGCAAGGCCAGTTTTAGCACCCTCTCCTGGTAATGAGGCAGAGGGTTCGGGCAGAGCCAGCCCTTGGCAAAACCACCGGGAAGTGGGTTGGGCATGAGTTGGAGGCCTCGGGGCTCAAACCTTCCACCAGCTGAGATGTGCCAGTACCTGTTGGGGGAAAGGGGTATGCAGAGAACAGAGAGGTCAAAGGAGAGGTGTGGGCATGGTGGGAGGAGTAAGAAGGGAAAGCATGATGCTTTTCTCATAGCTTAATAAAAGTTTATTTTGGGGCGCCTGGGTGGCTCAGTCGGTTAGGTCTCTGCTTTCATCTCGGGTCATGATCCCAAGGTCCTGGGATCGAGCCCCACATCGGGGTCCCTGCTCAGTGGGGAGCCTGCTTCTTCCTCTCCCTCTGCCTGCCACTCCCCCTGCTTGTGCTCTCTTGTCAAAGAAATAAAGTCTTTTAAAAAATAAATAAATAAATAAGAGTTTATTTTCACAATGCTACAAAGGTAAGACCCCCAATTTATAATTCTTCATGTTCCTCTCAAAAGAAAAATTTTTTGAAGATTTTTTATTTATTTGAGATTTATTTTATTTATTTTATTATTTTTATTTTATTTATAAAATTTATTTAATTTATTTAATTAATTAATTTTATTTATTTATTATTTTTATTTATTTATTTATTTATTTATTTATTCCTGCTCAGCGGGGAATCTGCTTCTCCCTCTCCCTCGGCCTCTCCCCCCAGCCCCCACTTGTGCTCTCTCTCTGTCTCTCTCTCTCTCAAATAAATAAAATCTTTAAAAATGAAATAAAAAAATAAAAAAAACAACAGTTGAATAGTGGCAAATTTGCTGTGCTTCAACACGCTTTGCAGCTCATCCAGCAGATATCCCCATTTGCTGTCTTTGGTTTACATGAGACATACTCAGGCCTGGCTGCACGTTAGAATCACTCCTAGGGCGCTTGTTTAAAAAATCCCTGTGCTCAGGCTGCCCACTGCCCAGGCCAACTAAATCAGAATCTCATGAACGGGGCTCAGACCTCACCATTTTTTAAAGAGGCCCAGGTGATTGTAATGTGCTACCAGAGTTGAGAACAGCTGGGTTTATGTATAAATATTCTATTTCTCAGCAATATTGTGGGCATCTTGAAGCTTAGACCTGTCTGGAGTCTTTTCTGGGTGTCTCACGCTCAAAATGTGCCCTCTCGCTGATCTAGAGACTTTTTTTAAAAAAGATGTATTTATTTGAGAGAGAGAGAGAGAGAGTGAACAAGCATGAGCAGGGGGAGGGGCAGAGGGAGAGGGAGAGAGAGGATCCACAAGCAGATGCCACGCTGAGTGCGGAGCCTGACAGGCGGCTGGACAAGAGGCTCGGGCCCAGGACCCTGAGAACACGACCTGAGCTGAAACCGAGAGTTGGCCGCTTAACTGACTGAGCCACCCAGGCGCCTCCGATCTAGTGACATTTTTAAAGGTACTTTAACCCCTTACAGAACTGCTCCAAAGGAACAACAGGACGGGATGGGCCCTTCCTCTCACCATTCTGTCTTGTTCCCTCCTGGTGAACTTGTACACATTCTTCAAGATTCAGCTCATGTACCACGTCCTCCGTGAACCGCAAAACCTTGTCTGGGACTCCTTCATTCCTGGCTCCAGTGACTGGGCCTCCAGCAGCAAACAGAGGGAAACAAGGATCCTCCTCTCATGGGGATGCCGTACTAATGACACGATTTACTGAGCCCCCTCTCTATGCCAGACACCACGCCTTTTCATCTTCTAACAACCCTGCAAGGTACCAGGTACATCTCCGATACATACTTGGGTAAAGTGAGGCTCAGAGAAAGTCAAGGTGGTACAGCAAGTTTGTTATCGAGCTGGGTAGATTGCTACCTAGATCTGGGTGGCTCCTGAGCCCATGGAGCTCCTGCCCTCACACACATTCTCTGTACCCCCAGCACTGCGCTGAGCTCTTTTTGTGGATAATTGTGGTTTTCTTATGCTGTCTTTATAGAACATTATATCACATCAGAGGTAGCGGTGAACATGTCTGATTCCCCCGTCAGGCAAGAGGGAAAGTGGTTAGGCATGCAGTTCCGGAACTGATCCGTCTGGGTTCGAATCCCAGCTCTGCCCCTTTACTGGCCATATGAACTCGGGCAAATTAAGTGACTTCCCTGTTTCAGATGCCCCATCTGTAAAATGGGGTTGCTAGTAATAGTTTCTAATCGGAGTAGTGGGAGGTGATAAATAATATATTTATCTCAAGTGATTACAACATCTGGCACTATCATTTCACTGAAGTTAATTTTTATCGTTATTTTGGGTGGGGGCGCGATCTAAGTCTTATCACCTTTGTAAGCCTAGTATTAGCACATACTAGCAATCAACAATCCGTCCTGCAAGGGCTGCAGACAGGAGCCAAAGTCCTGAATAATCTCTCAAAATCACCAACTGTTGGCATTTTTTGAAAAGATTAAAAATCTCCGCGGCCTCCCCTCCAACCCCTCCCTGCTTCTGTTAATGCCCTCGGGGTTGGAATTTGAGATATTCTATCCTTATTTCCCCTTTCCTGTCTTATCCCCTCGGAAACAGGACTCAGTACGGGAGACACCCGGGCTGTGCGTTCCCACGGTGGACAGTGAGGGAAAGCTGCAGGGTGCTCCATTAACCCCTTTCACATTCCTGTCTCTGCTCAGACCTGTCAACCCTCCATCCCCTTCTTTCTACCTTTCTGAGGGCCTCCTGCCCTTCCAGCCCTCACCCGGTTTCCACACAAAGCCTTCCTGGGGGGACGCTCCAGCCCACAGCGACCCCTCCCTCCTCTGCATTTCTGTAGTAACATCTGTTTTTTTTTACATCTGTTTTTTGTATAGTGCTTTCATATCTCCGGTAACCTATTTTATCGTCTCCCATTGAGGGAGAAGTGGTGTTTACCGTCCACATTTTATCAGTGATGGAATTGGGTCTGGAAGAACTAAACAGTCTGCCAAGTCTGGACTTTAATCCAAACCTCTGACTATAGCTCTCAGCTCTTTCCATTAGTAACTGATATTCTTACAACACTCACTGTCTGTGTCACACTTTGGACACATAGGGTGCATGGGCTTGTGTTGTTAGCTGCCCCTCCAAGCCTGTAGGGAGGTATCGGCCTTTCCTAAGCTCCCTGGAGGAAGGGAATGGATGACTTTTGTCTGTACCCCTAGGGCCTAGCAGGTGTTAAGCGCCTAGGTGTACCCCGTGCATTCTAGTGATACGGTTAGGCGACTTCCCCTGGCTGGCCTTCCCTTGCCTCCACACCTTCCTTCCAGCTACATTCAGCTAGAGTACCAAGGGAGCCATCAGAAACAGGGACGAGGGAGAGGGAGCGTCACCTGAACATGAGTAGGCTGTGTGAGCACCCCCCACCCCGAGCCCCCGAGGAAGGAGCTCCTCTTCTTTTTTTTTTTTTTAAAGATTTTATTTATTTATTTGAGAGAGAGAGAATGAGAGATAGAGAGCACGAGAGGGAAGAGGGTCAGAGGGAGAAGCAGACTCCCCGCTGAGCAGGGAGCCTGATGCGGGACTCGATCCCGGGACTCCAGGATCATGACCCGAGCCGAAGGCAGTCGCTTAACCAACTGAGCCACCCAGGTGCCCCATGGGAGCTCCTCTTCTTGAAGTTCTCTGGGCACAGGATGTTGCCCTTGGTGTCGAGTGGAGGTGCCCTCACTTCGCTCCTCAGCTTGAGTTTCTCCAGCTCTCTCACTTCCTGTATCGTCCTGACAATCATCTGGTTCTTCCTGTTCTCGTCCGCGAAGATAGGAGTACAGCAGATGAAGCTCAGGAAACTGTTCCGACCCACCCAGGAGGGAGGGGGGATGGGGGGCTCTGCTGGGGGGCAGCCGTGGGCCCTGGGGTCCGTCAGCCAGCGCCACACGTTGCTATCGTAGGGCCTGTCGGGCCTGGTGGGAAAGGTGGCAGGCAAACGGCCCACATCAAGCCACGTGTGAAAGCCCCAGGTGTGCTGTGCTGCGTCCTTCGAAGGGTAGATCAGTCGGCGACGCACCTCAGACTTGACCTCCGTGCGGGGCGGCGGCTTCAGGGCCAGCCGGTGGTGGGCCTGCGGGGTGAAGCCGGGCCACTCCCAGGACTCACTGGGGAGGAGGAACTCACGTTGAGCCCACGTTTGGTGGGTCAGGAGGGGCTCGCTGGCGTGGGCCATCTAGGGAGAGACAAAAGGGAGCCTGGGGGACCACTCTGCCTCTCTCTCCCAGGAGCGGCCGCAGAGACAACAAGAGGCCGGCCTCCTCAGACCCCAGATTCTCAAAAGGACCCTGGTGGCCTGGCCGAAAACCATGTCTCCATTCCTGCCCTGCCGTCAGAAGTTCTGTCTGTTCTGTAGGGGTCCCCTGGGTTTCTCACCTTCTGCTCTCTCTCCCACCCCGTCTCCTCAGCTATCTCCCTGCCCTTCACTCCTTACGTTACCTGTCCTCCTCACTCTGGCTGCCGCCCCCACCCCCTGCCTGGAACTGGTGCTCCTAACACGGTACGTCAGGCCTGAAGAAACTGTGAGGGGGAAATGCCCCTTACTAAGCAACATGGAGAAGGAAAATCTTTCTGCAGAGAATGCAGCCCAGGGTTTCTTCTCTCCCGGACTCGTCCTGTTACTCGTTTCTCTGTCATCGGTGCATTTCCCTCACTTCTCATCCAAACACAAGCAAGTATGGAAAACACCTAGAAAGCTGGTTCCTTCCCTTTCCAGTGTCCCACCTCCTGTGAAATCCACAGTAGCCGCTATGTATTGACACTGTGCTAAACACATCCACAACTCAGTTAAGCCTCATAATCCTATGAGCAAAGTGTTGTTAATTGTCCCATCTCAAGGATACAAAAGGCAAGACAAAATGAGGGTGACTAAGTCACCCAAGGTTGCCAGGTCAGTGAGGGGCAGAGCTGGGACTCGAGCCATCTCCTGCACTACCCAAAATGCCTCCTCCTCCTTTCCACCCTAGATCTTGGATTCCAAAAACTCACCTGTCTCTTGGGTCCACTCCGCTGTCATTTCTCCATGACCGCCCCAGTAGGTGGGGCTGGGAGATGTAATAACCAGGCATCTCCTTTTCTCTGTTCTGAGCTCTGTGTTCCCAATACCATAGGATTAAGAGAGGAAGACGGTGGAAGAGCTCTGGGCCAGACCTACTGACCAGAAGAAAGTACGGCCCACCCCAGGCGGACAGCCCTTAGCCCAGCAGGGTGCAGAGAGATAGGCTGTGGAGATGGGGCCCCACCTCCTACCTGCAAGAAAGGTTTTTGGACATGGGGTGGATCATTCCGCCCTCTGGGTTGTCTTTGTGGGCTACTGGCCATTCCCCCTGTGGGCCTGATTGCCAGGAGGGGCTGCTTTGTAGGGAAGACTTTCCTGGCAGCATTGTTTGCTGTGGGGGTTGCTATGGTGATGCTTCCTGGATGGTGACGCAGGAGGCAGCCCTTACCTCCCCCTGGGAGGGCTCATCAGTCCCTTGGGCCCTTGGCTGCCTTTCAGGTGAGACAGGCAGGGGATAGGGCTCATATGTTTTTAGCAAAAGATGGTAACCAGAGGGGCTTCCGGGGACGGACTTGCCTAGGAGGGGCAGGAAGAGAAAAGGCCTCGCTTCCAGGCCCTGGGTTGGGGTAGAGGTGGTCCTGAGGTACCTATAACTGGGCCCATCCTTCCCTACTGCTCCAGGAGGTGAGGGCCCTGCCCCTCTGTAGGCCTTTCCCTTACAGGGAGCACTAAAGGGCCAAGTCAACCATCAGGTTCAGAGGTGCTTAAGAGGCTGGCCATGGAGGACCAGCCTGGGAGATCTGCCAGTTTCTGTGCTAGAAAGGATGTGTGCCTGTGCCGGATATGGGAGGCAGTCCAGGCCAAAGCCCTCAGCGCTCTCTTTCATGTGCTTCTTCGTGCTGGCTTCAGGCCTTACCTCTTCCCGGTCACCACCATCTCCATCGTCTCCCATGGTCTTGTCCAACCCCTCCGTATGCCTCAGGGACCAGACACCGACATGCCAGAGACCACACTTCCACCCTGGATTTTATTGACAGTTATGGTAGTGTTCTTGAGCTGGCTCACATGCATGTGGTCAGTTGGGGTCTAGGGTGGCTCTTTGCAAAGCTGAAGTGTGAGCTAAGGAAGCTAGGCAGGGCAGGGCCCCTTCAGTCTTCTCAAGCCTTGGGCCAAGTTCTTGGCAATGGCTAGTCTCTCTGGCATGATTAGGGACATTATCAGAGAAACGTCTCATGGGAGCACATCTAGGGACCCACATTCTTTGCTTCAGATGCATCCATTCCCCCACCCCCAATTCAACTCTTGACCCATTACAAGAGACCTTTTCATCAGGATTTCTTCTTGCAGGAAAGCGGACTTGGAACCATGGGAAGGTGGGAGGGAGGGGCAATAAGAGGGACCCTAGGAAGTCGACCTGCTTATCTGGGTGCCTACAGTAAAGAGCCCTTGAGGCAGGTGTCCTGGGCCTGGAAGAAACCATGCACTGCAGGTCCTCCCTTCTCTAGGAATTAAAAGCAAGGAACAGAAGCAAACTGAAACCCCTTGTCATCCTACCCACCTTCTGGCAGTCTCTAGATAATGATCTAAGGAAATAAGCTTACATTTATAATTAGAGGATAATTTGGAGAATATACACTATTTACAAGGGCCACCCTGCAAGAAGCAGGGAAGGTGGGAAACTGCTGGGCACAGGTGTAAACAGTCTGGGGAGTTCCTAATCTCTTTTTACCCTTGTTTTTGCTATTCCCACCCTTCAGCTCCTAGCAGGGAGAGTGAGGAACCGGATTCTCTTGGGGAGCACTGGTGGCACAGTGACCGGTCACCAGGACCTCGCTGCTTGCAGAGGGCTCAGTAGTGGCCATGGCGTGACCAGGCGAAGTGGAGCTAGAGGAGTGGATGGTCCCGCCTGCTGTCCTCACTCCAGATGAGGCTTGGATGGCCCAGCCACACGAGCTCCTGGAAGTGTGGACGGCATGGGCAGCAAGGGTAAGGTCAGGCCTCTACCACAGCTCAGGAATGAACTGAGCCCAGTTGATGCTGTCAGGGCCCAGAGGGTCCTCCTCCAGGCCAGGAAAGCTGATGTCCAGCAGGATCTTGCTGAGGCTGTCATTCATTGTGTCCAGAACCAGGCCTTCTGTCAGAGAACGGTTGGCAGAAAGGCTGGCCACCTCTGGCCCGGGGGAGTGTGGCTTGGGGACTTCCATATCTGAGGGGGAGGAGGTGCTGAAGGGGTCAGAGGTGAGGTCAAAGGGCTCCGAATTGAGGAGCTCTCGGGGTGAGTCAAAGAGGGGGATACTTTTCAGCGGGGTGGTGCTAAAATCCGTGGGCCCCAGGGAATCAGGCAGGGGGCCAAAGGCAGCCTGTGGGGGTTGTACTGGGCTGAAATCTAGCCCCCCTACTTTGGCTGGGGGTGTGAGCCTCCAGGATTCAGGGGTCACGGGGAGGACAGATTTGCTCGGGGTGGAGGAGATGGGCAGCGTCTCCTTAATGGGGGTCTTAAAAGGTCCTCCCTCCTCCTGGGAGTAGCCAAGCTGGGAGGCAGGCTCAGAGGGCTCTGCAGGCAAAGGGAGCTCTGTGGCTCGCTGGGAAGCCCCGGGGCCCTCGGAGAAGAGGAGCTCAGGCTCGTCCAGACAAGGAGGCAGGAGGTGCTGTTTCCTTCGAGACCGGCTCATCTCCCTCCCCTCCCTTCGTTTAATCACGAGCATTTCCGAGACACACCGGGCTGGGGACTTGAGCCCACTGTAGGACTTCTTCGGCCTTGGGGTGGGAGAGTGGGACGACCCCTCCCAGGAGTGAGATGATTCCTCTTTGACAGACAGGCATGGCGAGGGCCACTCCTCCAAGGGTGGGCTCTCCACTTTGATGGGTCTCCCCAAGGGTGGCGTTTCCTCTCCAGGCTGGGGTTCTTCCTCCTTGATGGACTGAACTGGAAGCAGAGGAGACAGTCCTTCTCCAAGCAGGAGTTTGTCCTCTTGCACAGGCCCTGTGGCGGGCAGAGGGGCCACCCCCTCCTCGGCTAGCAGCACCTGAAAGGAAAGCAGGGGTGCGGTGAGAGGGAGCCCTCCAGGCCTTGACACTCACCCCAGTCAACAGGCGGGACACAAGATCATGACTAAAATAAGCCACATGCTGGTACTAGTCCTCTTTTTTGTCTTTTTAAAGTCTTACAAACTATGGGAAATATGAGAATATATGATGAAGGTGGTAGTTCAATTCTGGGGGTAAAAGAGTGTTGTTTTAATATGGCGCTGGTATAATTAGTACCCAGCTGAGACCATAAAATTGGATGCCTGTTTCATACCATATACAAAGACTTCAACAGAAAAATTAAAACCATACGAATCCTGAAAGAGAATCTAGGAGGCTACATGTACAAACTGAGGGTGGGGGGGTGACCTTCTTAAGCAAGACTGGAAACCCAGAAGCTGTAAAAGAGAAGAGAGACATAGTTGACTATATAAAAACTTAAAATCTTACTATGGCAAGAGATTCCATAAACAAAGAGACAAACAATAAAAAAAAAAAAAAAAAAAAATATATATATATATATATATATATATCTTCAGCACCAAAGACAGAGGTTAATATTTTAATAACAAAGAACTTTCACATATTGTTATCAAAACCTCATAGAAAGATGGGCCATGCCCGTACATAACTAGCTCGGTGAACCATTCCAAGTGACCTAACATGACGAGAAAGTACTCACACTTACTGATAAGCAAAGAAAGATAAAATGAGACAAGGAGATATCATTTACACATAGCAGATGGGCAAATATTTCAAGGACTATTAATACCAATTGCTGGCAAAGATATTGGTCTTGTCACGTATCGCTGGTAGAAATGTAAATGATTATATATTTTTTTGGAAATCAATATCTAGCAAGATTTAATAAACTGGAAAAGACCTTTCCACTGGACAATCTCATGTCTGGTTTTCTGGCCCACAGAAACAAAAGCACTTGTAAGAAAGGTACCGGCAAAGATATTTATTGCCATGTTGTTCATAGGGCAAAAAACCCAGAAACAAAATGTACCCATAAAAGTGGAATGCTGGAAAATTTATGGCTTAGCCACACGGTGGAATATTATGTGGCCATTAAGAAACAATGAATTAGAGCCAATGCCAAGTGACTTGGAAGAATTTCCCTATGGCAGGAAAGTGTAGTGTGATCCCATTTTGAATGTTCTGGGTGTTGTATGTACATATATGAAATGGTTATGGCTGTATGTGTACGTATAGTACGTGAAGAGCAGGAACAAATGATGAAGGCAAGCATACTACGCTGTCAGCATGGGGTATCACGGGCAGCAGGGGGATGTGAGTGAAGGTGGGGGAGGGCAGGCAGAAAGAAAAGAGGGGGACAAAAGAGATTGCAAATAAAACAAACAGTATATGTGCTACAGTCACATGGATACTTTTAGGTAAAATTACATACGATGGTATGTATTATTTTATGTATATTTAAAAAATATTTTTTCAATTAAAAAGAATAAAGCAGACCCAAGTCTCTCTAAACTCCAGAGCCTATGTTATTTCCATCTCAATGAAGGAGGCAAGGGGACCCTTTTCTCTGCTTTGTTATCAGTCGGCTCTCGCTCACAAATCCTCTATAGAGTTAAGTCCAGACTTGGTAGCTCATCACGAAATGGTCTTAACTTCACCCTCCTCACCTTCTCCTCAAGCGAGGCCACCGATGCTCAACCAGGGACGCTATCCCCACCCTCCTGCCCCCTAAGGGACATCTGGCAATGTCTGGACACATTTTAATTGTCACACTGGGGGATGCTCCTGGCATCCAGTGGGGGGAGACAAGGGATGCTGCTAAAGATCCTTCAGCGCGTAGGTCCACTGCCAACAAAGAGTTATCCAGCCCTGAATGTCAACAGTACGGAGGCTGAGAACCCCTGAGCTAGACTGATCCAATCACTCTACCGTTACTGGGTATAAACTGGCATCTCCTGCCTCCGTGGCACCGCCCATTAGAATGCTGTTGCCACACCTGTTTGCTTACCCAAATGTAATTTTTATAAACTCATTAGGTATCCATGGGCTTCTGACATCACTTATACCGTAATCCAAGTTCCTTTTTAGCTCTTACAATGCTCTTGAATTCTCCTTTGTCATACAAAGGAAAATGCCTCATCTACCCAACTAGATGTATAAGCTCCTCCAGGAGCATTTAAGCAGAGAGCTTGCAAACCATAGATCCAACACTTTTAATTGACTGGAGTGTCTCGTCAGAGGAAAACAGAAGCCACTCACCTTGGGCGCAATACGGACTCGCTTGCTGTGGCGGGCAAGCTCTGAGCTCATGAGT